AATAACATGTATTTACCTCGAGGAAGCCAGAAAACGACAACGTAGAATGCGATTTTGTCGAATGAGAACTCAAGTCAACCATCTTGTTATTATGTTAAGCCAAAAAATGAAAGCACCCCTTAGTGAAAAGTCGAATTAGGATAATGCATGAAGGAAGTAATGAAGAGAGGGACAGAGATGAGAATAGCCCATTTAGGATGAAAGCTGAAAAAAATTTATTTTAACATTTAAATATAATATATTTATAATTGTTTATTTTCACAAAATAATAAAAAATAGTACTATGAATTATTTGTTTTATTAATTTGTAACTCTGCACTTTCGTCAGCGCCAATTATGCTGAATTTCACATCCCCTTTCTCTAAGCCAACGTTGAAATGCAAGTTCTGGCTTCTTTAATATGATCGTATTTGCATATGTATAGCTTTTTGAGTTATTTTTAATAACCTAGTTATTTTGCACATTTTGTCAACTTTATTTTTATACCTTGTTTCGTTTATGAATATCTGATTTAAGGCATCTCTGGCAAAATCCTTCCATTACTCGGAGCTTCTGGCCCGCGATTTTCTAACGTACCTGCAGTTGGGTATCCGAACGACCCAATGATTCATATCACCAAGCGTTCTCCTCTTCAGGAACGATATTCGGCATATGTTCAGTTTTTTAAGCGTCCAGACCTCGATCACTGGTATTTGCGACAAGGCTTGGGTGAATTAATTCTTGAAGATGCTATTCCGAATTCAGAAATAATCACATCTGCCCTTGAGGGCTGTCGAAAAGTGAACGATCTTGCTCTGGCAATTCGCTTTCTTGAAGTAGTCAGAGTAAGAATTCATTTTATTAATGCTTTAGCACAAGACCAATGCAATGGGTGCTGACGTATGGCCTTGGCTGTTATCCCAGATTCAGCCTGTCCTTGATAAACACGGTATTCCTACACCGGAACAGCTTGGATACGACAAGCCTGAATTAGCAGCTCCGGAAGACGGCTATTACTGATTTCCTTGCTGTCACTGAATGCTTCGGATTGGCCTCAGATTTGCCCGTTACTCCGCGTTCTGTGCACAATTTATTTTTAGTCTAATATAGCTCAAATATTGTTTCATCTTGTTGCAAGAAATAGCGACTTCCTATCAAAATAGCAGTCTGAATGTATTTATAATTATTCTTCACTCCCTTTGCATCAGGCTGTTGTGGCTACTTTTTCCGAACCGCTCATTTCAAATAAAGCC